AGTGCAAACGGCAAGATTTGAGTGACATTCGTAGATACAGGTAACATGAAATATCCAATAGCCAAGCGGCGCCTTTGGACAAAGGAGAAATCTTAAACATCAAACAGGCGAAGCCTGTGTCCTTTAGTTAGATAGTAGGAGCTACCGTGGAAGATATCGTGCTGATACCAGATCGGGGACTCCACACTAGCCAGCTAGTTTGAGAAGTGCAGGTACAGTCTACTCGCGCTAATATTTATAATATTATATTTATCCTCGCTGTAATATTTATTAAATCTCGAGGTCCCCCCCCCCTCAGTCCCGGGTATCCGTGAATGAATCTTTCGAGCAGCAACAAATCTTTCGAGCAGCCCGACAACGTCGTCCAATCCATTCCAACCGTTTCAATTTGACCGAGACAGCATGTAAAATGCCAATATCGATCCAATGGAGGTGGGATTCCTCGCACCTCTGCCCGTGGCTGTCTTGTCTGGGCCAGCCCAAGCGCTGGTTGTTTACGTGCAGTTTTCGAAGGATGGTTTCGAGGAGACAAAAACAATTCTCCTGAGCTGCCAAACAATTTCACCCAAACCATACCAAACCCTCCAATCTGACATAGACCAGCATGAACGGCGCCGATTCAACCAACATGAACGGCGCCGATTCAACCGTAACGAAGAAAGGAACGAAGAAAGGCGGAAAGAGGGGACCAAAAGCAGGTTCAACGAATGCTACTGGGAAAAAGAACAGAGGCTGAAGAAGCACTCAATAAGCTGTCCGAAAGTGCCTCTGCTTTGGGTATCAACCAGGCAGCCACTGTGCATCTTGACAGGTTTGCTAGCTAGGGCATTGAATGTGGCTAGGGCTGCTAGGGCAGGCAAACGTAAACGCGACGGCTCTATCCATTCGTACTTTACTAGTGGAACCGGCCCTTGAAAGCCTTATATTTATTCTCTCTAATATATTTATCGAAATCCGCAATCCCCCCCCATAAATAATAGAGCGAGTCAACTGTACGATCTACTACCGGTACTGTAGCTAGGTTACAATAGTGTGCTTTCCTTTTGGTTGCGGCTCGTCTACTTGTTGACCACCCAGAATGACTGAGGCCAATCGTACCTCTCGTGGACGGAAGCGTGGAACCCGTCTCGAAGAAATTGGTGCAGTTTGTGTAGCCTCTGGTACATTTGCTACACAGGTTGAAGTTTTGGAGACATGTCCCGACTCAGTCTGGAGTGTGACATGTTAACGGTCACAAAACTGGCGCTTTCTGTTACTTAGGGTGGGCTTCTCAACTGGTTCCAACAGGAACACGTCTCCGCTGGTTGAGTCTCGCTGTCACTTAAGTCTCGCCTGGCCGGTCTCGCGCGTTCCGAGCCGTTGGCTCTCCTTTTCGCTCTCGCCCGGCCAGTCTCGCCTTAAGTGCCGTCTCGCCTCGAAACCAGAGGAGACGTGTTCCTGTATAGAACCCGTCTCGAAGAAATTGGTGCAGTTTGTGTAGCCTCTAGTAGAGAGTCTACGTCAAGTTGAAGTTTGGAGGAACAGTCTGGACTTGACTCGACTGAAGTCTGGAGAGACATATTAACGGTCACATTTTAGTTACTTAGGGTGGCTTCTCAACTGGTTCCAACATTAACACATCTCCCTGGTTGGTCTCGCTGTCACTTAGATCTCGCCTGGCCGGTCTCGCGCGTTCCGAGCCGTTGGCTCTCCTTTCCGCTCTCGCCCGGCCAGTCTCGCTCTAAGTAGCCATCTCGCCTCTTAACGCCAATCAGAAGCGTAGGTCATATATGACCTACGCCAACCCACGTAGGGCACATGTGCCCTACGTATAACCTTGTTGAAGCATACACTCCCCCACATACGAACATGGTAGTTGTAGATAGAACCACCTGAAAGAGCGCTGAAAGAGCTTTCTCCATATATATGGGTCACTATGGGTGATTTCGAGCCAGAGAGGAGCTACGGCAGCCTAAAAGGATGAGGAATCGGTCACATCTGCAGGATCGAAAGTAGCCAACAGGATGACTGACCTTCCTATGCCTCCCCTGCAAGGGCAGAGTGGACCTGAAGGTGAGGAAACCAATCCTAGTATAGTTAGAGAGACACTGGACTTGTCTCAGCTCATCACAGGTGCTTCGGCACATGCCAGGATACCCCCAAACGAAGCCAACAACAACCAGGAATCGGTCCCGCGACAGGCCCAAACCCAAACGCAGGAAACTCAAGAGACCACAACAGAAACAGGGAATGCCAAGAAGAAGAAGAGGCAATCGTTCTCCTTCTCAAACAGACACTTCAAGTGCAACAGTGAATTGTTCTTAGACCCCAAACACAAGGAGGCTTTCCTCGAAAGGTACCCAAATGACCTCGAGATTGTTGGGAAAGTAACGCAATGTCCCACCACAAAGAATGGAAGGATATATGGGTTCAGATGGATTACGTCCGGCACACAGCTTGAAATAAGATGGACGCAAAACTTCATAGACAATTCTCCTGAATTCCGCGAGAAGCTGAAAGGTTTGATACAGGGATATGAGGAAGAGCAGAGAGAACTGACAGTCGATCTTGAAAGCAATCCCGCGGCGAGCCAAGGTACCACGGGATCTTCGACAGACAAAGGCAAGGGAACTTCAACGGGAAGAGCCTTGAGGACACCAGCAACAAAGAAGGGCAAGGTGCCGCCCCCAACATCCCAAGAAAGGGCAGATGCATACGCGAGTCTCAAAACTGCCTGTTCAGCTGGCAGCGGGACTGCATCTCAACCCAAAGAAACAACCAACAGACGCATCACGAGAGGAGACGATGTTGATGGTATCGACTCTGATTCTGATGATGGAGATGACCTTGATCAACACGATGATGCTTTTGATCGAACAATGGCTGAAGGATACGACAGCGATGAGGATATCTACGAAATTCAAGCCACAGATGGAACAACAGTTGCTAAAGAGGACACTTATGGGAAACTTGCGCAGCAACTGAAGTGGAAGTTCCAAAACATTGATCCTGGTGATGTTCCTTTCACAGAAACGAAGAACATGCTACGTGGGACCACCAAGTTGAAGCCTGGTGCTGGAGATCGCTGGAATGATCCATTCGAGTGCTTCCAACGTTGTGGATTTAGCAGAGAGTTTGTAGCAGCCCTGACACGCGAATCAAATGACTACGCAAAAAACAACCTACTGGACAAGCATCGTAAGAAAAAACTGTGTGGTGCCAATTGGAAGGACATAAGTGTTACAGAGATGTCTGTGTTCCTTGGCATCTTGTTGAAGATTTCACTGTCGCCCACCGATGGTGGTGGCTACGCTGCTTATTTCGAAAAAGAAGACATCACGATCAACTATTGCAATCATCGGGAGCCCAAAGCGATAAATGACAGTGCAGGATGGGCTTACCAGTACATGACCTTGCTGCGATTCAAGCAGATCAGGTCTGCTTTCCACCCAGAAGATAAGGAAATGGGTGGTGGTTCCAGCGACAAGTGTTATCAACTGAGAAGGGCAATAAACTCAACCAATTCAGCTTCTAAGTCCATCTTTGAAGCGGGCTCCCATTGTGCTTTTGACGAGGGAGGAGTTGCGTGTCGATCCAGATTTTGTCCTGTTCGACAGTATAATAAGGACAAACCAAACAAATTCAGAGTCGATTTCTTTATACTCGCCTGTTCAACAACTTATGCCATCTTCCATATTGACGTTTATCAAGGAAGGAATGCGACCAATGTGGGTATCGAGGAATGCATCCAAGATCTTCCGACAACGCAAAAGGCTGTAATGAATGCCGTTATGTGTACTTTCGGCAATGATGGTCAAGGAGCAAGACACATTGCCATGGATAACCGGTACATGTGCCCCGAGCTGGCGGTTCTTTTATTGACAAAGTGTGGTTGTTACAGCACAGGGACCTGCAGACGCAGACGCAAGGGATTCCCTGATCACCTGCTGGATCTGGAAAAGAAAGACGGTCGTGGTGAGTACAAGCTAGTGGCCGACAAGGTCAATCGTTTACTTATGATGCAATGGGTAGACAACAAAGTTGTTACCATGGTCAGCAGCAACAGTGACACCACCATCGGTACAGTCAAGAGGCAGATTGGTCCATTGGCGAGGCAGCTGGACTGTCCAACTGCAATGATTCGCTATCAGAGGACAATGTTCGGTGTGGACAAAGGAGATGAGCTTCGAGCTCACTTTGGAGGCTTTTCAACCAAGGCCCATTTCAAGAAATGGTATAAGCGAGTGTTCCTCGCTATTCTTGATGTGATGTTGATGAATGCTCACATTGCTTGGAACCTGTCAGCCAAGGAAAAAGCTTCGAGAAACCGGAATGTGTTAGAGCGACACCAATTTATGCAATTCGTAGCAGAGTGCCTACTCCATTACAACGAACCAGAAGAGGTACTGCAACCAAAGGAAAGTACTGCGGCAATGGATACCAACCATCGACCAATGCAGCCAAAGAAAGGTACTTCTCGAAATCGATGCATTGTCTGTCGCCTCGAGAATGGGAAGTGGTTTGATCCTAAGCTTGGAGAGACTGGCACCAGGTCTGGTCTTGCTGTTTGCTCCGAATGTGGGATCTACGCCCACAACCACATTGTAACTGACTCCGACAGGAAAATCCACAATATGCAACCATTTCAGAACAAGACGTGTTTCGAGATTGCACATCTTCCTGAAGGGCTTGCTCTATGGCCTCTTCGACAAGTAGACCACTGCAAGGGATCTCGATCAATGTGTAGGACTGCTCCTGTTTTCAAGGCCCTTAGGAAGATTTACGGCAAGCCAGAGGTGGAAACTCGAAAGCGAAAAAGGAGGGAGAACAGCAAGGAAAACAAAAACAAAAGTGATGCCACCGAGAGCAACGGTGTTCTATACGATAGTAGCGACAACGAGCTCTACGAATAGTCTAAATAATAGTTCCAAATGTCATGTTTCACAGACGTGATCACTTTTACTAGAGATTATCCTACTTTGTGGCGATGAACATTTCTAAGTCTGGGTACCGTTGATACCCTTTAGCGACAGTGGCCCAAACTGTCACTTGATCGCTGAACCTCGGTGACTGTCTCTAGTTGGGCTTATACCCGACATAGGCTGGATCATTCTTGTTACGGGGGTAGCAATCCTTGATCTCACCTTCCACACAGACTGGAAGTTTCATTCGCTTTCCTGGGCCAAGCCGACCATTGATCATACGAGAGGCTTCCCCGTAGAGAGCCTTCCGAATCTTGTTGTTGTCATACCCTTCATCCTTCATCATGTCTCCAGTCATCAAGAGCGAACCACCCATCATGTCCTGCAGCATGTAGCACGGCGCCTGGAAGCAATATCCACAGGTCCTCGACTCCAGAGGCTCAGACTCTTTCTTCTTGTAATCAAGGACTGTGGGTTTGTGGGGCGAATTTGTTCGTCGGATGGTTGGATCAGCGGCAGCATATTCATTGACGTCAGGGTGGTTGGGGTAGACAGGAGAATCATCGCCATGTGGGAAGGAAGGAGATCCATTTGGATAGTGGGGAAAGCCGTCAGGAACAAGGTCAGTCAATCTCACGACTTTGAATCCATAATCAGTTGGTGTTCTTGGTTTCAGTTCTTTCTTACCACCCTTGCCTTCCTCCACTGCTGGTTCTTTGCCAAACTCGAATTCTCCTTCGTCGTCACTCTCTTCTTTCTCCTTTTTCAAAGCAGCAGCAACCGAATGCTTTTGGGAGAGGGGAACATCAGGCTCAACCTCGAACTCACCCTTGCCAAACTGCTCAATCACCTTGAGGTCATGCTCCCAATCCGACTGCATGATGGCGCTCCAGTTGATGCCTCCGTGGTTTTCCTTATTTGGGCTTGTCATAGTTCAAATAATGGGAGGAGCGATGGATGGGTGGGCATTGGTTGATTGTGGTCTTCTTTCCTCTTTTCTGTTGAGCAAGCAGGGATGGCATCATTGGATACGACAATCCAACTTTGCGTTGGTTGGAGGGAGAGATCATGCCGCCATTGCTCAACCTTCATTCTGGTATTTTTAAGCTGTGGTGACCTACCTGTAACTCTAGGCGTAGGTCAAAGTGACCCATGTGAAAAATAAGCGTAGGTCACATCTGACCCACAACTATGACTATTTCCGCATGATTCTAAATGGCGTTAAGTGTAAATGTCTACACACAGTTAGTAGACATAAGTAGACAAAGTAGACATTGTGCGACATTAGGAGACATTAGTAGACAAAGTGATACATTGGTAGACATTGGTAGACAAAGTGAGACATTGTGAGACATTGTGAGACATTGGTAGACAAAGTGAGACATTTTTGTACTGTTTTACTGTACTGTGTAAACAAAGTGAGACATTGGTAGACATTAGTAGACATTGTGAGACATTGTGAGACATTGGTAGACATTGTGAGACATTGTGAACTCAATTCATACATTCAATTCTTAGGACTATGAGCAAAAAGCATGCATCCAAATAATTGGGTGTTATGCAGGATTTGATCACTCTGAGCCACACTGAGGCTCCTGGATCCTCCTGAGGTCACCTGATTG